AAGGCCAGGGGTGATGGATGACTTATGGCTTTGGTCTATCACAGATGCCTTCTACTGGTGTACTAGAGCTGGCGGGTATTGGTTTATTAGCGTGTCTTCCCAAGGCAGTGTTTAGTGATGTCATGTTCATAGCCTGAAACTGGACACAGTGAGAGTATTTACACCATGTAAATTGGCAAACACTAAACAGGGCACATTCCTCTACCTTGGAGAGCTGGTTGTTAAACATTTATCCACACGTCACTGCTTATAAGCCATTTTCCCCTTCTTCTCTTTCTATCATTAGCTTAAAGGGTGCATTTATTGAGCACCCAGTCTACTCTGTTAAACACTGAAACCCAAAGACAAATTAAATAAACTCATATTATCTATTAAAAAATAATGCTAATGCCACACAAAAACAGTAACAATAGTTACCTTACTATGTGCCAGAGCTGCCCTATGTCTTTACACATGCAAAATCACTTATCCGGCATACTGGGATAAAGAACTAGTATTATCTCCTTTTCACAGATGAGGAAACTGAGGCACAAAGTGGCAAAACACTTGCTCGTGGTCACAACTGTAAGTGATGTTTCCAGAGCCAGCACTGTGGGATTTTTCTCACCCCTGAAGCCCATGAGTTTTCTACTGTCCCATGAAAAGCACTGGTTGGAGACCCATGTGCAAAAATGCAAGGACGTGTTCCACCAGAGCTCAGACTCAAGAAGAGCAAATGAGTTTTACGGAGGCTTTGTACCAGGAGAGTTCTCGGAGGAGACAAAAATGTAATGTAAGCTTTGAGAAGGTTGCACAGACCCCCAGAAAAGCAGCTGAGTGGCAGCTGAGGTCAGCTTGATAAGAGGGGTTTTGGATTAAACAGGCCCCTTGTAAGAAACCTCTTCTCCTGGCGTACTTTGTCAAGGCAGGAAAACGCCTCTGGAAGGAAAAAAAGGAAAGAGGCACAGTATGCAATTAGGAGAGAACAAATACATCCTCACATTTTCACAGCTGAACAATTAGGGAAAAACAATCGAAAATTGGGTGTTGCCAGAGCAAATACCCAGGAGGCCTCTGCTCACCCCTGCAAGGGTGACTGCATAAGAAACAGGGCTGACACCACCACAGGACAATGAGAGACCACTTCTTCTAAGCCACAGTGGCAGTGGCAGTGGCAGCAGCTAGTTCTCCTGCTGGGTACCTAGTTGGAAATTCTGGAGGGAGCCACTTTCTGCCTTCAGCATCCAAAGGCAGAAACTGTAATTACCGAATAATAAAAATTAAAGTTCTTAATGTTACTTCATAGGATGAAAATTGCCATATCCAGCTGACAGCCAAACATTAGGATGAGCCCTTCCTTATGATCCTTAGGACAGAAAGAAAACCAAGTTCACTCCCTTTTCCCTACTTCCTCCTGCTTTCTTTTCTTTTCTTTTTTTTTTCCCCCAGGGAATGAGTCAAGTCAGTCAACAAGTATTTATGGAGCACCCACAGGATTGCACAGTCTGGGAGGAGACACGGGTTACTGGAAGAAGCCCAGGAGAGCTCTCCCTTGAGACAGTTAAAGGAAATGTCAATCTTCAGGCCAGGTCTAAACAGGGCAGTAAAGAACTGACTGCTACCTGGGTGGGTTTATTCTGGGCCACTCACTCACTTCGGGCTGAGCTCCCTCCATTATCTCCAAGGCCAAGTGGGTGGATCAGCTGTGTTCATGCACATTTTTGGAAGGCTGCAAGCACAATGCTAACAATCTTGATGGTTGGGGGAGAGCTGGTAGTTGACTGAGATATTCTCCTTCCCCCAACTACTAAAGGGCCCCACAACAATCAAAACCAGTTAAACAAATGTTGTCAGATGTTCACCATTTTCTCCTCTCCAAATGTAAATATGTATAAGCAGGATGGGAAGGCTAGGAAAATCTAGGGCCCATGGACACAGCCTCCTGGGGATTGTATTGATGTGGCTCCAGATCCTGCCACTAGAAGTGTGCTCTGTGGACCAGCAGCATTGACATCACGTGGGATGGTGTCCGAAATGTGATTTCAGATCCCACCCCAGTCCTATGGAAGCAGAATCTGCATTCACCCAAGCCCCTCAGGTGATTCCCATGTACATGCAAGCTTGTGCAGCACAGTCCAGATAACCAGGCAACTGTTTGCCATTAAACCCCAGAGATCCTCCAAAGTCACATTTGGGAAACATCTGCCTTCCATGTTGGGGGGGGGGGATAGCAGGCGCCATAGATGTTCTGTTTACAAAAAACAAATATGAGTAAACCCTAAAGGTTTATAAATATATTATGACTCCCAGTTTAAAGGTAGGTCATCTGGAAGACCCAGGTCAATTATACATTGCTTAATCAACAGAGGAAGATATATTCTTCGAGCTCACAGAAACGAACACTACCCACCACAAGGAGTCCTCTCACTTCTACATTACACTCAACCAACAGTGTTTGATGGCCTAGATTCGCTTCTGTTTTAAATACCCAAGCTATGTTTGAATAACCTGTATGGTTACAATTAGGATCACCGCATCTGGGAAAGTCACCGCAAACCCCCACACATAAATATGGTGATTTTAATAACAAATAACACATTTGGAGACTGGTATATAAGTATGCCAGCAGAGGAAGCCACTGAAGATGTTAATTTGCATGTTCACAAAGGAATAGAATCCAGCTGCGACATTAATGCTTAATTCTATGGAGTCACAGGACACCCGAGCAACCTTACTATGGGCATGCTCTAAATTTAAACCTGATTTCAAGTCCTTACAATTTGGCAAAAACTTAAATTCAGCTGCTTGAGAAGGGGACTGGATTGTCTGTGATCCCTAAAAAGTATAAGTAGAAAAATACCATTTGTTTTGCAAGTTAAATACAAATATATGAGTAGATTTGCTGTAAAGTTTGTCAGAATATCCACCTTGAGGCAGAAAAAAATGAAAAAAAATCTAATTAGAAAGATTTCCTCTAATAAGGCTTTGGAATTTAAGGACTAGGCTCTAGCTTAGCTGTTGCTTGCTGGACTCCTACATTTGTTTCCAGTGCTTAAAGTAAAATGTGGCAATTATATTAGCCTTGAAGATAAATCTTCAGTAATAGGATATATATGAGTGAATTTGTTTGTGTAGAGGGAGAAGCTATTAATAATAGTGGTCACAGTAACAATAATAGGCAGTGTGCTAATTTGGACATCTTTGTATCTTGGTAGGCTCTGTTCACTTCATCAGTTTCTCCACAAAAACGGAGTCTCTGTTGATTCCATTTACACGAGCCTGGTGTACTTGCTCAAACATCTGCAAAAAGACAGAAGGGGCCTCTTGTGGGGATGCAAACCCAGTGGTGCAAACCAGCAGAATTTAGTAAGAGTATAATCAATTAATTGTTTCAGTACGAAGGAGATAGCCACAAAAACCTCCCATCCAGATGGAATGTATCTCATTGAGAGCTCTTAGCATTCACTCTTTACAGAGAATGTTGGGTAGCCAGGACCTATGGTGACATTAGCCATAGGGCAATACTCCTGTCCTACAGGTGGACAAGAGGGAAGGAAGGTTCTGAGTTACCCCATCTATCAAGCAGATGCTGGTCAAATCCTTTGTAGGGGTACACATATCAGATAATGAGCATGATTCATAAGATAAGAAAAAAAATATCTGGAGAGTTATATGCTTGGGAGCCCTTAGAATTGCAATTCTGCAGAGTCTTTGGTTCATCTGTTATTAATAAATGCCGGTGGCAAAATCCAGGAATATACTTGTTAAATGGGCTACTTCCTCCCCACCCCCCCACCCCCCAGCAACAGCCAGATGTGGAAGTCAGGGGACCTGAGTGGAGAGCATGGCCCTGCCGGGGGCACATCGACCGCGTCAATAAGCCTCAGCTAATCATCTATTAAATAGGACTGATTGTATCAGCATCACTTAATTCTTAGAACTATTTTGAGGATCAAATGAGACAACGATGTGAATCCTTAGGTATGGGAATCTGGGGATATGTGGGGGAAGCTTCGTGTGCTGGAGGTGAGCATCCTTCCTCACTGTCCTAAAAAGCATGTGACACTCCTTAGAGTGCTTCCTCTGGCTGAGGCCCCCAAACCAGCTCGCCTTCCAATTTCAATACATTTAAAATTCATTACGCAATTAAATCCATTTTGATCTAATTGAGTTTTCCTCTGAGGGCAGTTTAAGGTTCCTCTGAGCCTGAGAAGCTGATGAGTAACTGGCAGTGGAAGCTCCACCCTACTCACTTGTGTTGAGATGTCCATCATCAATTTTTTCCCAACGCATGATTTCAGTTCCCTGGATAGCGTGGTTACATCTGGAGGCCAGAACCAAGCCAGCCACCACCGCTAGCAGCAGCAATAAATAACACCACTGCATTGAGTCACCGCTGTGGACAGTCAGGGGGAACAACTGACTGCCACTCAGATGGAGACCTTCTGTGTGAAGGAGAGCTGGCCAGTCACTTGGTGACCAAAGCCAGTGCTGCCCTGCCCAGGAGGTGCATGGCCATCCTCTAACAGTTTCCATTTGACAAACTGCCTCCAGTACATGGGCAACCTCTGGCTGGGCCTTATCCTGTAGTTCGAAGATTAGCCATGTGGTTCCTGGTCCCCGTCCCAGGCTCCTTGTTTGCACTGCAGCCAGCTGGACACCTCTGCAGCCAACCTACACCATCTCAGAGGGATGAGGGACTGGTGACTGATGCCTGGTGGGGAGACTTGCCTTCAGCCCTCCATCCGAGGAGGGACCCTTCTAGGGCTACTCTCCTCAGCCAGTGCTGGGCCACAGTCAGCCTCATCCACTGTTCCAGCTCAGGTTCTAAGGACTGTCCTGAGTCTCCCAGGTGGCCAGACACACCTGGCATTTGGGAGGAAGAGCCTCCTTTGCCTGGTATCTGTCTTGATTCCCCACTCTGGATTCTGTCCTGTGACCTGGCAGAGTGTCAAGTTCATCTTTTCAGGACAACAGTGACTTCCATTTGCTAAACCCAATGGTTGTTTCTCAGTCCTCACCTCACTTGACCTTCAGCAGCATCCGACTCAGGTGATCTCCCCTCTTCCTTTACACACCCCCTCCTTGGCTTCAGGGACACCACACCCTCCAGGTCTCCTCCTACCTCTCTGGCTGCACCTTCTGGGTCTCCTTCGCCAGTTCCTGCTCTTCTCTCCAATGTGCAAAAGCCACAGTGCCCACAGCTCAGCCCTGGACCTCTTTAATTTTCAGCCTCATTCCCCAGTGATCTCCTGCGGTCTTGTGGCTTGAAATACCAGTCTGCTGCCGACTCTAAAGTCTCTCTCTAACCCAGACCTCCAGGCTCAATCACCCCACTGCCGATCACCCTCCCCACTGCATGTCCAAAAAGCATCTCGAATGTAGTGTGTCTCACACGGTGTTCCTGATTATTTCCTCCCAAACCTGCCCCTCCCACAGGCTTCCCCATTTTGGTCAATGGCATTTCCTTCCTTCTTTCCTGTTGCTCAGGAGACAGTCCTGACTCTTCTTCCTCTTGCACCCCACATTCAGCCCACCCACAAATCCTGCTACCCTCCCTTTATATTAGGTCCACAATCTGACCTTTCCCACCCCGATCTCTAGTCCCCCGACTCAGGCCACAATGCCACCACGACTTGTCTCCGAGTGTTGCCTTGACCCCTTTTGTATCATTACCGCAGCAGACAGAGAACTCTGTTAAAGCGAAGGTCAGATCATGTGACCTCTCTGCCCAAGAGCCCCCCAACGCTTCCCACCTCATGCAGGGTCAAAAGGCCTGAGTCTTCTCATGCTCTACACGGACCCCACGATGCCTCCGTGACTGGCCCCCTGTCCCTTTTCTGAACATACCTCCCTCAATGCTAATGCTCTGTCTGCCTTGGCTCCTTGCATACGCCAGGTGCGATCCTACCTGAGGACCTTTGCACCTGCTGTTCCCCACTGCCAGGAATGCCCTTTTATATAGCCTATATATTCTGTCACCTCCCCTTGAGGCCTTCAATGACTATTTATTAAATGAACAAATGAACTAAAGACTTTAGCCTGGGCCGGGACTCCACAGTTGGCCTGTGAGTTCTTTCCCTGGGCCTCCGTCCTGAGCCCTCTGCTCACTGCTTCTCCCCCCCCCCCAGGGGACACTGTTCACACTGAGGTCCACAACGGGCAGGGGCACCCCTCAAAGCCAACTCTGCAGGCCTGTACTCTCCATGGGACAGGGACCCATGGAGCTTGTGTGTCACACTATGTAGATTCAGCTCTCCCTAGGGTGCTGGGCACATAGCAGGTGGCTCAATATGTATCTACTGAATGAAGGAGTGAAGCAGACATTGCTTCACCTTGCACCCTGGACCAGCACCCTGCCCTCTCAGATCCCCAGACCTGTGCCTTGGGGCTCCTTCTGGCCACGTAGCTCTTCTCTCTCCACTCCACACCCCAAGCCTTCTCCTCCTGGGCCGGCTCCCTCTCTTCCCTTGCTGAGCTTCCAGCACCCTCCTATGCTGTCCAGACCTAGAGGATTGCAAAGCACTGCATCCCCTGGGAATGATGTGCAAATACAGCCTCCCCATGTGGAAGGCACTGGACAAGTCCCCCATCCCTTTCTCCTCAAACCCTGTGCAGACGTGGGCTCTATGTCACATGATGTCTCTCCATGAGTAAGCTACAAAACGGCCCTTTAAGAGCTCAACACAAAGCGTGGGAGCCCACCTGAGTCACTGAAAAGCCTCCGTTCAGCCTCAGCCACTCCCAGCAATAAGCTACAGCAGCCAGATCTTCTGCGCCCGCCTATGGGTGATAGCTGGAGACCCTAGGCTGTTTCCTTTCATCAAAAGCATAAAGGGACAGCAAGGGGACCTTAAGAATGTAATGGGACCGAGGAGCAGCCAAGACAGATTACAGAATTAGTTCTTTCAAAACCACATGCCAGCCGGGCGTGGTGGCTCACGCCTGTAATCCTAGCTCTTTGGGAGGCCGAGGCGGGCGGATTGCTCGAGGTCAGGAGTTCGAAACCAGCCTGAGCAAGAGCGAGACCCCATCTCTACTATAAATAGAAAGAAATTAATTGGCTAACTAATATATATATATATATATATATATATATAAAATTAGCCGGGCATGGTGGCGCATGCCTGTAGTCCCAGCTACTTGGGAGGCTGAGGCAGAAGGATTGCTTGAGCCAGGAGATTGAGGTTGCTGTGAGCTAGGCTGACGCCATGGCACTCACTCTAGCCTAGGCAACAAAGCGAGACTCTGTCTCAAAAAAAAGAAAAACACCACATGCCAGCTGATTATTAATAAACTGCAAAAATAAGCTAAGCGTGGAATAATTGGAGCTGAATGCATACCAATTTTGCACACTTTAACTCATATATGAGGCTCAAGTAGAAGCCAATTTAACAGTTACTTATTGTTAACTACTATGCGCCAAGACTTTGGTGCACTGAGGGGGTAAGACCTGTGGGAGGCCCCACCTTGAGAGAGGGGTTTGTAATCTGAAGGGGGAAAGGGAAAGAGTTATGCCCTTTCATGCAACAGTTAAAAGAAACACAGTGTACTTGGAAAGTTTGAGGTAAGAGATTTGCTTCAACAGGGAGACAGCAAAAGAGGGGAGAGAGGTGTTGCGGAGATTTCTTGAGGGAGACAGAAAACTAAGAGATTTGCAAAGAGAAAAATGGGAAGCAGCCATATCCTGCATGGAAGGGGAGAAAGCTGGGCAGAAGGTGGCTGCACGCAAGAGGGACGGTGTCTTTAGGAAGACTGAGCCTTCCCACTTGCCATCTATACGCTGCTCATACGCACTGCAATGCTGAGTCCCATTCAAGAAAAGGGAGGAAGACCACGGACAGACCTCAGTATCTGCTCCCTAGAGCAACAGTGGACACAGAGCTGAGTGCAGCTTCTGAGGTCAGGAGAGACGGTGCTTGTGTTCATACTGTTGGTCAGGTTTGGAAGAGAAAATTAAGCTGACAAAACCTCAAGGCAATGCAGGACCATTCTTTCTGTTATTTGAGGCATCCCACAGAAGAAGGGAGAGAATTCTTAAGTATGATGTGTTCACAAATGGAAAAGTGTGAATTTGGTCTGGATGTTGGCATTCTACTCGAGCTGGGGCTTTATCTGACATGGGTTTGATGTTGGCAGCTCAGGGCTAGCAGGAATGCCCTGGGAAAGCCAGCAAATGTAAGGTTTCCAGCCCAATGGTACCAACAGACGAATTATGGTTGAATTATGGGATCTTAAATGTCACTGACCCTGAGGCCAGGCAGGTAAATGCTTGGTTTGATTTTAAGTGATCCAGGTGGTGGAAGAAGTTCTCACTGGCTTCTTTAAGACGGTCCCTTAGACTTATATTTTTGGATTCTGGTAATTCAAAAATCTTCTCTTGCCAAAAAAATATTTAAAAATAAAAAAGGAAAAGAGGCCAAGTGCAGTGTCTCACACTTGTCATCCTAGCACTTTAGGAGGCTGAGGCAGGAGGATCGCTTGAGGTCAGGAGTTTGAGGCTGCAGTGAGCTATGATTGTTACCACTACACTCTGTACCAGTATGGGTGATAGAGCGAGACCCTGGCTCAAAAAAAGGAAAACGAAAAGCAAGCAAGCAGAGAAAATGAAAGGAATATTTACCGAGAAACAGGAACAAGTTATTCCTGGACTCGTGGAGTTATCCAGGGCCTAAGGAAGTACAAATAGAGCCCTAACAGAAAGTTTAGTTAAAAATGCTAAAAATAAACAGTGGCTGTATTTAATTTCTTTTTCAAAGTTTCTAAGGGAGCCAATAAAATAAAAATATACCTGGGGGCCGAATTATATCACATGAACAAGTTCTGCTTAAAAGTACATTCAGTCCTCTGGGCCAAAGACCCAGAAGAGCCCCTCCCTGCTGCTCCCCTACTCCTGTCCTCTATTCTCCATCAGTAAGTCAATCAACAAACTTCTATGGAGTGCCACTATGTAGAAGGCACCGAGAGAGGACAGGGTGCTCCAAGAGTCAAGTGAGAAAGTGCTCGCCTTCCAACTTCTGTTCCCACACTGAGAAAGAAACAGAGCAAAAAGTGCTGAGTTCCAAAAGACATGCTGTGTAAAAAATGTTGAAAAGGAAGTCAAACCCTTTAAAAGGGTGACCTTGGGTGTGCCCTTCCCAATCGAGTTAAATGTCACTGCTCTGAGAATTTGTACTTTCTGATTTCCTGATTTTGCAGAATCCAAAGCTAGCATAACGAAGTTAAACCCTTCAGCTTCCTTCCTTTCTCCATGTCCTTAAAAACAAAAACAAAAGCCACAGATTTAATATTTCTATCGAAATACAACTTAACAAAAAGCATCACACACTTTTATCATTACCATGGTTAGGGAGAAAAATAGTATTTCTCTCTTTTTTTTGCTGCAAGATTATTTTTTTCAAACTTAGCAGGCACTAAATTCTGCCCTTGCATAACTTAGTCCATAAGTATAAGCACTATTTTAGGCAATTGATGGTTTCAATCATCTGTGTGTTTCTCAGATATCTCCTTAACCATCCACAACTGTTAGAATTGGGGGATAGGGGGAGGGAATTCCCATGCCAGTCCTTTTACTCTTTCTGGTTTTGTCCTTCACCTTCTGGGATGATAGCCTGAGGTTTACGACATCCTAAATCTCCACAGCAGTGCCCAAGCACCTTGTGAGAGAGGGAGGTACAGGGACATTATCACCTCCATTGTGCAGAGGAGGAGAGGGAGGCTCCCAGAGCCAGAGCCGCCCTGCCCAAAGGTGGCCACTGGCCACACGCGGCTACAGAGCACTTGAAACACCATGTCGTCCGTGCACAACACATGTCAAAAACTCAGCACAAAATAAGATATATTATTAAAATTAACTTGCTTCTTTTCATTCTTTTTTAACGTGGCTACTAGAAAATTTTAAGTTACTGCTGCAGCTCACATTGTATTGTTACTGGACAGTGCCGCCCTACAGGGATCAGTGCAAAGTCATCGAGCAGGCCAGGGCCTGACATGAGCCAAATCCACTGCCCCTACTGCGTCTGGGGGGTATAGTGTTTTCCAGGGCACGATGAAACTGAGAAGAGCTTTGCACACAGAGGAGAAATGGTCCATCCTATGCCCAGGATGAGAGGGAAGGGTGCTGCCTGGCAGTCTGTGTCCATGGCAGGGCAGAGAGGGCTGGAGGGGGGGGTCGGGCCCTCACAGCAGCAGGGGGAAGAGGGGAAAGGACTGCCGCGAGGGCCCCAGGCTGTCTGCCTGGGAAGCAGCCTGTACAGGGTCCCCAGAGGGAGCCTCAGCCTGGCAGGCTGGTCCAGCAAGGGAAGTGGGGTATACACACCTCCAAAAGAGGGACTTCCCCCATAGACCAACTCTTACACCCTCCTTCCATCTCTTCTCTACACAGTAGTCAGGGAACTATTTTAAATTTTATACCGAATGAAATCATATCCCCCAACCTCTGTTTAAAATGCTCCTATAGATTCCTCCATGTCCATCCAACCTAAAGCAGCCCCTCAAACACCCTGGCCTGTTTCAGATCTCTGTGCAGTGTATCCTCACTGTCTGGGGTTGTTTCATTTGTTCATTCTTGGTCTCCCCTGGTAGAATGTGATGGCCATGAGGACACAGACTCTGCCTGCCTAGTTTTCTGCCCCATCCTCAGAACCCTGGAACAGTGACTAGCGGCAGAAGGCAATCCATAAAGAACTGTTGAATGAAGAATAAATGGGGCAGGGCACAGTGGCTCACACCTGTAATTCTAGCACTTTGGGAGGATGGCTTGAGCCCAGGAGTTAGATACTAACCTGGACAACACAGGGAGACCCCATTCCTACAAAAATTTAAAAATTAGCTAGGTGTGGTATTGCGCACCTGTAGTTCCAGCTACTCGGTAGACTGTAATGGGCTGTGACTGTGCCACTGCATTCTGGCCTGAGTGACAGAGGGAGATGCCGTCTCTCTCCCTATACAAAAAAAGAATATATGAAGGAGCTCCAAGGAACGGTCCCCTGCAGTACAGAATGGCCGAGTTCCTACTTCGTGTGCAAGGTGCTTGGTAAGATGCTGCAATGAATCCCACTCCAAGAGTGGCCATCATTATTTTCATTTCGCAGAAGGTAACTGAAGACTCCGTGTCTCTGTTTCTCTCCTGTTTGCTAGGGCTCTTCCGCCTATACCTGGCAAACAGGCTTCCATGCCCAGCTAAAGCTCCTAAGCCCTCCCCACCCCCACTGCAAACGCCCATGCTGCCCTGACTTCGTGTCTCCTCCCCTCCCTCGGAAACCCTTCACAGGACACAAAGGGCAGGGGACTGGAGTCATTTGTGTGCTGGCCTTTCTTCCCCGCGGGCTTATGGACTCTCTGTGAATAGGGCCCATGTCTTACACAACTGAATCTCTACCCCCCTTGCCCACTGCCACTGCGCCAGCACTGTTCTGGGTATACACCAGGAACCGAATCATCATTTGCTGCTTCAATGGAGCCAGGCAAGGAGAGCCTTTCCTCCCATTGCCCTCTCACCTGGAATGACACCCCTGCCTGGCTGCCTGCACCGCCTTCCCCTCGCATCGCTCTCCCCCTGCACTGTTCACACTTGTCGTCACCCAGCACCCCGGTCATATGTAGCCTTGCATGTGAAAGCCTCGGAGCCCATGCATCCGCCTTCATGCCTCCCGCTCTTACCAACCCCTCCCCCACCCTGCCCAGTTGGGCAGCCCCCCCAGCACCCGTCCTTCCTCCCCTTCCACTCCCTCCCCCATTATCCTCAGCTTTGCCCCCTGCCCCCACCGGGCTGTTTACACAGCTGCAGAATGAAGGGATGCTCGCTTCTCCCCTCTGCAAGCCCAGGGTTAATATATGTGTATTTCTGGCTCCCCACAACTTGGGGCAGTGGGAATGCTACCCTCAACCCAATCTCCTGGAAATAGCTGGTACACTGATAATGACACTTTCTGAAGA